CCCCAAAACCCCAAAACCCCAAAACCCCAAAACCCCAAAACCCCGATTTTTTTAATAATAATTGAACCACTCATTACAACTGTTAATAATTTAGAAAATGGATGGCATGAAACTCTTCAGCTGCTCTCTGATGGTCTGGTGGCTGTCATCTTTGAGTCTTTTTCAAATATCATCAACATTCTCAATGTCTATCTCAATCTTCCAGACCAGTGAGTCTAGGTATCTCAAAGGATCAGATTTGTATCTTTTAGGAACACCTTCAAAATCTTTAGGAATTGAATTATCATTATCTGTATACACTTTCAGAGTATTTTTAACTTCATTGAGTCCTTTCTCTGAAGAATCCAACAAATCTAGCATTCTGGTAATCTGGATGTCCTTACCGTCTGCTTTCTCATCGAAATCATCATCTGCAGCCAAGCTGTCACCTCTGAGATCATTCTCAGGACCAGAGGAGAGCATCTTGTACCCCATTCCAACGGATTCACCCGTTGGATTATGTGCGATATCATCTGCTAGCTCTTCGACCCGTTGCCTTTTACTTCTTAATTTCTTCCCGAGAATGACTATCTTATCTTGCAACTGGCTGGTGTTCAGAGGCTTGCCTCTCAAACAATCAATCAGTTGTTTAGATTCATACTTGTCTTGATCTTTCTCAACCAAGAACTTATTGGCTTCGCCAATCTTCTTGTTCCGAAGCTCCTCATTAAAAGCACGGGAGTGACCCAAAAGTAGCATTTTAGAGATCGGAAAGTTCTTAAAATGGTATGAAAGCGCTCTAATTCCAGTTACCCATAAATCAAACTCGAGTTCATCCTTACAAGTTAGGTCCAAAGAGTCTTCCTTTTTCTTATTGATTTTGTAATGAATCGAGAACGAAAGATGCTCCAAGGCAGGCTGAGGATACTTCTTGAACCTCTTGGTCTTCTGGCCAACTTGAATGTTAGAAATCTTCCTCAAATCTATGTAAGAATCGCCGATACTTTTGGTGCCACTAAACCACATGAGTTTCTTCAGATCATCACTGAGCTGGAATAGCCGGATATTGGGATACTGGTTGTCATAATGCCTGAGGAGATTACTACCAAGCCTCATGTATTCAATAGCTTTCTGGGCTTCAATATGTCTGAGAGGCTCTACTTCAAGAACGATTTTACGCCATCTATCACCTAACAAATTTTCATATTCATTCTTCTCATCTGCCTTAATGATTGTATATTTTTCTCCTCTTCCTTTGATGTTGTTAACTTTTGTGAGATCTAAAGGCTGGCCATCTTCTGGGCTCAAAAGCTCAAATCCAGAATCAATAATTGAGTCTCAAGCACAGATCACCATCTCTCTAACATCAGAGAGAGGGGTATCCTCGTACCAATTAACAGGGAATTTGAGGTCATTATAAGCTACAATTATTCTCTTCTGTCCTTGCTCGATTGGCCCGAACTCGCTCTCTACTTCCTGATCGTCATCACTATCGTGGTCTAGTTGAATAACATCATCAGTAATGCCTGCGAAGTCAATCAGATTATTGGTTCTGCTTGGTTCATCAAAATTGATAAGATCGTTTCCAGGGTCAATTTTTCACTCTTCTTTCCCTTCAGGAGTCTGACCTGGAGTGTTTGAAGCAAAGAAGGCATCACCTAGACCACCAAGGGCGTTTGCATGTCCACTCCCAGCGTTATCTTCCCCTTCAAAATTAATAAGGTCTTCCATTTTAAAAGATTTTCAAAATTTTAATAACGAAAAGGGGTTTTGGGGTTTTGGGGTTTTGGGGTTTTGGGG